TTAAATCTAAATCAAAATGTGTTCTTTAAAGGAATTTCAAATGGTGAAATGATCTATTGAAATGTGAAGGTCTTCATTATTTTCTAAGAATTTTTCTACTTTCTATAGAAATATATTTTACAAGTGATTTCAGATTGGTATATCTTTTAACTTCTAAAACGGCTGTTTAAGCAAATCATTAGGTTAGATGTGAGATAAAAAAGTAATTAGGTAATGATGCGGGCTGGGTGAGTCGAGGAGTCGAAAGAAAGATTTCTTGGACTCTCAAGGTCTGGCAGTAGTGCTCCTTTATTCAGAGAGTAGCATGGGGACAGGACCCACAGGCAGTAAAGAGCTGCAGGCATAGGGACAGGACCCATGGGCAGTGAAGAGCTGCAATGTGTTGAGGGTTAGGCTAAATTTATAAGGCATGGGTACATGACTTATTTTTACTAGACAAAGGAAAGATGATGTAAAAAGTCATTAAATGGTATCAGTGCAGGTGGGGTCTGGTTATTGTGTGGTCATATAATTTTAGATATGTATTGGGTCGTATAGATCTGCATGTAGGTCAGGATGCTCTCTGCTTCTCTCCCTGGGGCAGCCCTAATCCACACCATAAAATCAGGTCAGGCCAGGACACCTTGGGCTTCTCTACCTGGGGCAGCCTTGGTCCTCATCAATAACAACGAAAAATGATATAATCTAGAAAATTAAAAACGTAAATTTCATCTTTGTTTCACATTATCCTTTTAGGTATGTTTGAAAAACTTATATGTCAATGGTCTGAGATTTATAGCTTTAAAAAACAAAGTGTATTCTATACTTATATCTAATAGATTTGATGTATATTAAATATTGAAGTTAGTGAGCATAATGTTCATCACTTACTAGATATCAACATCAACTCAATGATAACTAGTTATGTCAAAAAGTCATATCAAATGATTTTCAGAAAGAAGCACAAGGTATTGATTCAACATACATTCACAAATGAAAATAAGTATAGTGTGCTTATGAAGACAGACGTATGGATTAAAAAAAGGCAAGATGATTTTAGTTGACAATCTGTTTATTGATTCAGCAGTGTCATGTGCTTCCCTCTGACATATTTATATGATTTTAGTCCTCATTGAAAATATGGATATATAATATTTAGATGGTAGTCTCAAACTTTCTTCTTTTCCTTTTTTTTCATCAAATTGTACCTACAGTACAGGGTTCTCTGCTTTATACTTGTGGTGGAATGACGGCTGTAATTTTTTTGTCATTTCTTCCATTAAAAGGTGAAGTCTATTTCCTTTCTCTTTCTACCTGAGCTAACTCTCTAATTGACTTTGATCAAGAGAACGAAGCAGAAATGTCATTGTGTGTCTTTGAGGCTGTCTTAGATTTGCAGATTCTGTTTTGGCACAGTTAAAACACTTCATCTTGGAAACCGGCTGCCACGCTGTGAGAAGGCCTCGCTCTTTGCAAAGGCTACATAAAGGGGAACTGAGGCACTCTTGTTGACAGACTTAGCAGAGCTTCAGAGTTTCAGCGTTAGCCACAGGTAAGGAGAGCGAGCCCAGGTGAATGTGCCAGGCTAGTCAAGCCTCCTGATGACTGCAATCCCAGCTGACATCACATGGGGCAGAATAACCACCTGGCTGGTTCATGTTAAACCAAATCAAGAGAGAAAAGAATGGTTGTTTTGTTTGTCACTAATTGTTTTAGTGACAATTGATTTTCAATTATCCATTATCAGTTCATTACATGGTAATAAGTAATTGAAGCAATCTTCAAAGGGTATAGAGGAAATGGAGTCTGTTTAGGGAAGAGGTTAAAGACTTTGACAACCTCATGACTTATAAACATTAGCTTGGGCTCTGAGATGGTGTTACTGCTCTCAAACACCATGTTTGGTGTCAAACATGGCAGGTATCCTAGGCTTTCCTCTGAGGCTCGTGGCTTCAGCCAGGTCTTTGTGGCTCAGTCTGTGGATCATTTTACAATCAGCACTCTAAGGCTCTTCTGAGACTTCAGTTCTATTCTGAATCTAAGAATGTGGTTGGGACCTGGGCAACCCATCAAACACTTTTCAGGTCCTGTTTCTGTGAGCTGACCTGATTTCCTACATTTGCTTGATTAAATGGTGGTCTAGTACAAGCGGAACAAGCCAGCAGAATCCACAACCTTTTCATTTAATTGACTGTGAAGTCACATGGTTCTCAGTCCCATCAAAGACTCATGAAAATCTCACCTCTCTAGAGGCCTCTCGTGGAATGACCAAATGGTTTTATTATAAGTGGTCAGAGGAGGCTGAACTATTTCAAAGTGTGTTTTACTGCTGTCAAGGTCCCATTGGAATTTCCTGATAACATAATAATGAGCCATGGAACTTGATGATGTAAAGAAACAAAGAAGAGGGGCCGGCCTGGTGGTGTAGTGGTTAAATTTGTGCACTTCGCTTTAGTGGCCTGGGGTTTGTGGGTTTTGATCCCAGGTGTGGACCTCGCACAGCTCATCAAGCCATGCTGTGGTGGCATCCCACATAAAATAGAGGAAGATTGGCACAGATGTTAGCTCAGCAACAATCTTCCTCAAGTAAAAAGAGGAAGATTGGTAAGAGATGTTAGCTCAGGGCCAATATTATACACACACACACAAAATATTAGTAACTCTAATTTAAATATTTTATGATCATTGGCTCATGTATTAATCACCTAGGTTCTGTGAAGTCTACATGTGAACAATGTTAGTACATGTATAATCTGGTTGCGGTGACAGACATGCAAACAGTTAACTGTAGTGTAACTCAGGATAAAATGAATGCTAAAAAAGAAGTGTAAGCAACATCCTATGTGAGTGCAGAGGAAGGAAAGGTTAATTCTGACTTTAGAAACTGGAGAGGAGAGAATAGGATTTGAGGAAAGTTTCTTTTTGTATTTAATTCTTTTTTTTGCTAAGGAAGATTTGCCCTAAGCCAACATCTGTTGCCAATCTTTCTCTATTTTGTATGTGGGTCACCATTACAGCATGGCTGCTGATTAGTGGTGTGTGCCCATGCCCAGGAACCAAATCTGGGCCACTAAAGCGGAATGTGCTTAACCACTAGGCCATGGGGTCAGCTCCTGAGGAAAGCTCATTGAAAAAGGAAACATGGGAGTTAGTATGAAAGGTTAGGACAAGAAGGTATTGCTAGGCAATGAAGAAGGTATTGAGGGAATTGATAGTTGAGGTTGAGGGAATGCAGTGGACGAAAGAATGGGAAGCGTAGGGAATTTGGGAAGTTTGATATGACTAACATAATAGGAAGATAAATATGAAACAGCAGATGGAGCCAGGTTTCATCAACTCTTACTAACAAGTTTGTACATTCTTGGGGCAATACGGCACAAGGGAATGCTTTTGGGGGACGGTTGGATGATAGGACCAAACTGACATTTTCAAAAGATAGCTAGGGGCAGAATGGAAGTTTCTCTGAGGAGTGGATGTGTAATATGTAGAATATTTAGGAGGCTTCTGCAATAGTTCAGTAAAGAAAAGATGGAAACACCTAGGAGTAAATGGGATTGCAAAGGAGGACAGCAATCAAAGATGATCTTAACTAAACTTGTGGTTGATTTTGAGAGTGAGGATAGAAAGAAACAACTTTGAAGTTTCCAAACTGGGTAGCTGGGAAGACAGTGCTGTAATTATCCTGATCCTGAAGAGGACAGAAGTCTCTTGGTACAAAAAAAGAGAAGAGAGACATAATAAGAACATGCTGGTCTTATGTGGAGACAACAAACAAGCATTTGCAATTCATTTTTTTTTTTTTTGAGGAAGATTAGCCCTGAGCTAACAACTGCCAATCCTCCTCTTTTTGCTGAGGAAGCCTGGCCCTGAGCTAACATCGTGCCCATCTTCCTCTACTTTATATGTGGGACACCTACCACAGCATGGCATGCCAAGCAGTGCCATGTCCACACCCGGGATCCAAACCGGCGAAACCCTGGCCACCGAGAAGCGGAACGTGTGAACTTAACCGCTGTGCCACCGGGCCAGCCCCTGCAATTTATTTGTAAAACTCATAAGAAAAAAAGAGAAAATGATATCAACAGAGGATACTTCAGTTTTAGGAAGAAATTGAAGCCATGAAAAGAGAAGAAATGTGCAGAAGAGAGTAGAGTAAAACCTCTGGGAATCCTGATGATTCAGAAGAAGAGGAATGAAGAGATGCCAGTGAAGCATAACAAGGAAATCGTGAGAGAGTGCTGTTATTGAATCGAGGGAGGAGAAGTTCATGGAGATGGCTGATCTATGGGGCCAAAGACTCAAAAAGGTTAAAGATGATGAAGAACAAAACCCCAAAATTGGATCCAATAATGAGAAGAGAGTAGTAAGAAAATTGAGAAAGCAAGCACAAACCAATATTTCGAGATAATTAGCGGAGAAAGGAAGAGAACATTACAAAAATGATATCTGAGGCACACAGATTATCAACATTTATAACAGTTTCCCAGAAGAGATCACTTATAAATGATCCAGAAATGCATCTGAGTGTAAAATAATGAATTTTACGTTAGTGATTTACAACATAAAAGTATTTCATTTAAGGAATATGCTATTATAAATTCCTAAATGATGTTGGCACCGCTAGAACAGAGAACACATGGACTATTTAGAAGCCACATCTGGGTAGTTTTCATTTATTTTCATCTAAAGTTACAGCCAAATTCATCTTAAACATTTTGTTGTATAATTTTATATAATTTGAATATATATTGGATACATCCAAGGGAAATGTATAATTAAAACTTAATTATGGTTTCATTTAAACCTATATTTCTTTTTAAAAAAAGAAACTAATTCATTATATCAATACCATACACAATTGTTAGTGATTGTAAAATATAGTGTGCAAGCTTTTCGTTCCACCTGAGTAGTGTTACGATGAAGAGAAAATGGAAAATGTTCATTTTAATATTTGAGACTATTTATTAACCAAGAATTATTTCACTTCTACAGAAGGATCGCAAAGTTCTAGAGTTTACAAACAATAGGGCAATTCTACAGCGTTTGACTTTTTTCCTGGAAGAAAGAGCTATAGAATCGCTATGTTTCTAAAGAGGAGAAAACATACGAAACTGAGCAATAGAAGGCAACTTATTCTCAAAAGTTTATGAAATTTTTTGTCGATTCCTTTTGGTCTAATTAGAAGTGCCTCTTCTGCAGATTCACTTCTGCTCACAGGATGTTTGCTACATTCAATGTGAGTAGCAGTTATGTTTTATGTGATGAATGTTTTGATGTGAAACCCTCTACTTTTACAGTCCGGTAGTTCCCGGAGAATCGTGACTGGATTTTTTGGCAGGTACTCTAGGAGGTCAAATCTGTGAATGTGAGAAAGTGGGTAAGTTTTGTAGGGGAGGAAGACATTTACTCTACCCTCTCTGGATTCCTCTGGTTGGAGAACGAATTAAATACACATGAGACAGAATAACAGGAGAAAATTAAACAAAGCTTTATAACATGTATACATGGGAGAGGCTCAGGCAAGCTGAGCAACTCACCAAAATGGCTGAAGCCACCACCTTAAACATCATATTCAGTGAAAGACAAAGGAGGATGTTGGGGGTGGGGGGAGTCAGTTACAGGAGGTTACCAGACAAGCACAATAAACAAGAATAAGATTATTATGCAGATTTAAGTCCTTGCCTTCTGAATTGATAAGAGTTTATAGAGATAAGGTCATCCCTCCTTCTTCCTGGTACAGAGAGGGAGACACCTTTACAGATGGAGATTTCCTTTACAATGTAAATATCTCTTTTCCTGTCTGCAGTTTATTAAAAGTAACCAGCCCCAAACAATCCCCATGCCAAAGAGACATATCTTGGGGTGGCCAATTCCAGTCCCCCACAGTTTCAACTACCTGTTTTGTTTAACGAGAATTGGAAAACTTGAGGAAATACCTCAAGGGAATCTGGAAATGTTTCATTTGTTTGTGATTAAAAACAAACAACAAAAAAAGTCCTCTTTAACTGAAGACACTTAATTAAAGCTAAAGGAGAAAGCTAACCACTTAACAGCAGGGGTCCCATGGATACAAATGCTTCATTAATTGGATAAAAGAGGAGGAGAAAAACCTTTCCAAAAATATTGCTATGTGTTTCTGAACACGTTTCATTAAGGGCATTTTGTAATCAGTGATCAGAATAGACTACGGTGAGACCTCCCATGGTCATGGCTTCAAAGCACTTTTAGATAACACATCCAAAAAAGGGGCAGGATGGAAATGAGAATAAGCTATTATTTTTTGTTACAAAGACAGGGCTAAAAGACCATTATCTGCTCATGTGTATAGCGTATGTTCCACTACAAAACAAAGACCATTCATTCATTCAATCAATCAACAATGATTTCCTATCTACGACGACGCCTGTGGTCCTGTGCTAGGTGCTAAGTACAGAGCAGTGAGCAATAAGGACCCTCAACAACAGGGAGCTCCAAATCCATGTGGTGAGTGCCGTAACACAGATGAACACAAAGTGCTCCGGGAAGACCAAGGGAACACAGTTAACTCCGTCTTGGGAGGACAAAGGACATTCTTTGAGGAAATTTCTTCTGTGCTTACACCCAGGAGTGAAAAGAAATTAACCAGCCAAAGAAAGAGGGCAAAGAATGTCATACGTAGTGTTAAAAGATAAACTGAGGCATATTAAAAATTTAACCAGTTTATTTGAGCAAAAGTCTACTCGAATCAGGCAGTGCCGAACCCGGAAGCGGTCAAGAGTGCTCCACTGACGGGAGCTAGGGGTAAGACTTTTATAGACAAAACACCGAAGCCAAGCAAGGAAATTATGTGATTGGCTGTAGTGAAGGGGTTGCCTTATTTGGGAAAGCCTAGACACTGTTTGTGATTGGTTGTCCTTAGGTTTTGATTTCTTAACCTTGAGACAGTTCAGGCTTAGAATCTGGTTTGCCTAAGTAGGCTGCTACGGCATTAGAACCACCTCAGCCTAACGGCCTCATTGTTTAATTTAACAGCAGAAACGATGATATCCACAGACACCAAAAAGCAGCAAGAACTGCAGACTTCTGGAACTGCAAGTGATTCCCTGAGGCTAGACAGCATCAAGTGAGGGCTGTGGAGTGAAGATAAGAGCAGAGACCGAAGGTAGAGGCAGGGACCAGTCAATGACAGGCCTCGCAAACTGTGTTCGTGATCACGAATTTTACCTGAAAAATAACAATGTGTGTAATTCATGTCAAAAATTGTAAATTTTTGGAAAATGTATTATATTTTTAAAATATCTCTACACAAACTGTATAAGAAACACAGCTAAGTGTACAAAATCCGTTTTTTACATCTATCCAAAGAAAGAATGGACTGGAAATATCAGCAATGATATCCTTATAAAGCTGACTTAGCAACATCATAAAATTCATGCTATGGTTGTTTTCAGGTGATATTACTTATCACCCTGGGCACAGTCCTGTTATTTAACCCTAACAGTAAAATTCTGAAAGGCTAAAAACTTATTAATGATAAAATCAAACACTCCAGAACAAAGTGTTTTCAAGAGTGAAAGTCAGTTTTGTCTAAAGAATACAATCTCACCATATATGTGAGGGAACTCTTGAAGTACACAATGGCACAGACTGCCTTGCACAAAAGTGGCATAATGATCTGCCCCCCCCCACCCATGGAAATGGTGGTGGTGATAACAGTGGCATTAGCAATGTTGTATACATTGTATAATTTAAATGACATCTTGGCAAAGCATAGCTTTGCCTACTTAGCCAAGAAATAAAGAAAACGTGCAAATTCTCATTAACCTATTTTTGAAGAAAAGAACTGTAAGAAAATGAAAAGAAACTTTCCTTTTGACTCACTCACGAAGCTATAGTAGGAGCAATTCTAATAAGCAATAATGGGGGGAAATTTAGCAATAGCAGCTAGTATCTTAACTTGATGAAGTGAAAACAGTCAGTATACCGATAATACTAAAAGAAAAGGATGAAATAATAATAAGCTAATAGTAACAGAATGAATTCTTTAAGGCATAAAATGTTTAGCTTCTAGTGCACTAACCACTAATGGAAGCCATGACAATTCCCCCTAACAAGATCTGCCATAAATATCACCTGATAAGCCTCAAACTACATTTTAACGTTAAGAGCTGAATTTCTCCCAGAGATATTCAGCCCCATAATGCTATGTATCTGTGAAGATCGGTTATTGCCCCTGTGCCATGGAAGTTATTATAAGATTTGCAGCAAAAGCGGTTAATGCTTTGGAGATAAGAATCCTGCTTTCAGAGGGAGCAGACTTTCTCCCATGTTCTTCAGTTTATTCTTTTTAAAAAAGTTGTAAATATGTTTCTCTTGTGGACTAGGCTGATACTGATTCTATATATTTTGTAACCACTACTTATGACATAATCCAAATCTTAGAGACGTATTACAAGTTTCTCCACTTTCCATGGCGAGTTATTTCGATTAGCTGGAAATTGAGCACAGTCTTTGAATGGCCTCTTTCTGTATTTCTATCATTGTGGAAGGCCAGGAGCCAGTCCCTTTTGGGTTTTGCCACTTAGATTTCCCTTTTCTTCCTAGGCTTCTCCTTCACCGCATCACAATCATGCAAAGACAAGGGAAATAACATTTTGCTGTTGTGACACCAAGACAAACTACTTTCAGTTTAAATATACTCCTGGCTAGAAAAATGCAATAAACCATGGTACCTATGGAAATACATTAAGCATTTCTTGAAGTTAAATAGAGGCATTTTACATGGACACAAACAGAGAGCGTTTGTGTGAGCGATCGGATTTTTGCCTTTGAGAACGATAAAAATATATCAAAATTTTTCAGACCAACTCCCTGAATTTGGAAAAAATACTTAATTTCAGTAAATCTATTAAAGCCTGGAGAAAAAGAGAATTAATGAAAAATGCAAATCAATCTACATAGGAAGCATGACCTGAGAATAAATTTTGATAAGTAAAGTGCTCTGCTCTCAAGCTTTTGTAAGAAAATATCTGAAACGCAAAATATGATTTTAATAGTAAGCAGTTAATTGTTGGTATTAATTATCATAGACATCAAAGATTATTTTCATGTTTGTAATATCATTTTGTTTCTGATACAAATTATTCATCACTTGATCGTTACATCTGTCCTCTATTATCATCCGCACTTCTCATGATATTAATGACTAAGGAGGTTAAAGGGTGATTTCTCTTTTCTTTACAATCGTTGTAATGAATGATACGACTGTTTACAGCAGAAACATCAAGGCATCCTTGAACGTAGGGAGAAAAGAGGGCATCAAGAAAGACAGACAGATAGCTATTTTGGAAGATACATATATCCATTGCTGGCAAAAAGTATCCCAGCTGACAAAAGCAAAGTAGTCATGATCAAGATCTGGTAAAAATGTAAAGAGCTAGATAAAAAAATCCCAAAAGCATTAATTATATTAAGGAAAATAAAGCACAAGAAAGACTTCTCCACCAGACAGGTAAACTCCCATTAAGCATGTGATGGTTAGTTTTATGTATCAACTTGGCTTGGCTATAGTATCCAGTTATTTAATCAAACGCTATTCTTAATGTTGCTTTAAAGGTATAATGTAGATGTGGTTAGGATCTACAATCAATTGACTGTAAGTAAAGGGGATTATCCTTGACAATGTGGGTGGGCCTCATGCAATCAGTTGAACGTCTTGAGAACAAGAACTGAGGTTTCCTGGAGAAGAAGAATTTCTGGCTCAAGACTGCAGCATTAACACCTACCTGCCAACTGCCCTACAAACTTTGGACTTGTCAGTCCCCAGGATCGCTTGAGCCAATTCCTTAAAATAAATAATGAATTTCTTTCTCTCTCTTTCTCGCTCACCCTCTCTCTCTCATATACACATAATATAATTTTTTTGTTTCTCTGGAGAATGCTTGTGAATACAGAAGGTAACCCTCTTCCTAAATGTTCTCCTTCTTTTTTAGAAAACATTTCCCTGATATCATCATCTGATGAAGAAGATTCACTCACAAGTTTTGTTAAAAAGAGCAATTTCTGCTAACATGTGATAACCAGGTGTTTCTGAATGAGAACGTCCCATGTTTCACAGTTGCATTCTTAGTAATTTGTTTTATTTCATTTTCCCAAATATCTGAAAAATGCTTGTGTGACTACTTGAGAACATTATTTACTATAGATTTTTACAAAACACATTGGGGTTCCAAGCTACGCTCTTGGGCTTCCCACTTTTCTGTTCAGGGATCAAGAGGGTGGAGCTTATATTGCCTGTTGCTCTTGTGGTACAGTCCCATTCAGGTGTATGATGAGAACACAAATAATGATCATTATGTTCCACTATCTAATATGTGAATGTAGTGTAATTACAGATTAACAGTTGGTATATAAGTACACCACGTTCTGTGCCAATTCCTATTACTGAGAATATTTATGTGTGATATATTTATATAAGGACATATTAAAATTTGATCAGCTCTTAGGGTATTATATCCTAAATCTCAAATGATATATGAGTGCTCCGACACTTGTAAAGTGTCCTACGGATGTTAAGTTTAGCCGGGAGGTTAGAGAAACTGTCATGTAGGTGACCAGATTTGAGACAGGTCCTAGAAAACAGGTAAGACTTAGCCAACCATACAAGAGATTCAGGGCCACACTGCATCAGGGACAACTCACAAGCAATCGTTCAGAACTTGTTAAAAACCTTTGGATTTTGGGGACCACTATCAAGGAGAGCAGAGTAAGAGAAAGCTTCACATCCGCCAATTCAAATGTAACAAAACAAAACAAAACTTTGTGCTCCCAATTCAGGCTCCCTGGGTGACTACATAGCTGCCAATAAGGAAACGTTTACTCAAAATAACAGAAGTTGGTATAAATTGCAATAACCATTAACACTTTAAAATAATTGCCTAATCAATATTAATTCCTCTGGTATCTATTTAACAGCATTAATCACAGTGAACTCATTTAGTATTAATGTGAATGTCACAAGTAATTCAATTGGATTCCACCGCAATTCAACATTAATTACCTTAACAGGGCCATTATTTTAAGGTGTTACCTAGTAAACATGAAGATAAAGCAAAAAAAAAAAATAACATCAAAAAATTACAATGTAGTACTATAACTTTTATCTATATATGATAAACTATTTGATTCCTTTGAAATATTTTCTTTGAAGAGTTTAATTGATTAGTAGAATAGACACATTCACACATGCCCACAAAACTGTGACACATCACCTGTAACTATAAGAAGTGTTGAATCTTATAAAGAAATTTGTCAAATATTGAGATTTCCCATTTAAATTCCAACACTTAGTAAAATGTATTATTTTAACTGTTGACTCCCTGTCTGCAATGGGAGTCATGTACTTTGCCACACAATATGATTCGGGGCAACCATGTTTTCTGGCACTTATGCTAGTTTGTCAAGGCTTTATTCAGCCTTTTCACTATCGGGTTATCAGCTCTCATATGTCACTTGTATGTAGGCATGCAATTCAGCTGTCTTCTCCCCACTTTTAATTTTACCTTTTTTAATACTGACAGCTGAAAAAGAGAAGGAAGGAAGGAACGAAAGGAAGAAAAGAAGGATGCAAGGAAGAAAGGAAAGAAAGCAGGAAGGCAGGAAGGAAGAGAGAGAAAAAAAAGAAAAACGAGAGAGAAAGAAAGAAAAAGAGAAAGGAAGAAAGAGAAAGATTCTTTTATGCTCTCAAGCTATCCTTCTGACTTTTAGGTTTTGTTCTAGGATGTTAAGATTTCCACATCCTAATTTCATGATAAATCGATCTGAGATGCACCACAAAATATAAATGCCATACCTAAGACTTTATTTTACATTTGTATTTCATATATAAAGCACTCAAGGAAGCGAATATGTTTTATTCAATTTTGCACGTGCCATAGCACCAACTGCAGTGTTTTGAGAAACAAACATTCACTGGAAAAGAAAATAAAATTATTTTTTACCTCATCATAAATGCTAAATAAACACAATAATTACCTACTAAATCACTCATTCATATATATATACTACACACTATACAATGCAACGTACAATGTGATCTCCTTCAATAGTTCTTAGAAATAGCACCTTACAAAATATGTCAAATGAGTTGGGGCCGGCCAGGTGGCTCAGCAGTTAAATTCATACGTTCGGTTCCCGTGGCCTGGGGTTTGCCGGTTTGGATCCCGGGTGTGGACATGGCACTGCTTGGCACGCCATGCTGTGGCAGGCACCCCACATATAAAGTAGAGGAAGATGTTCATGGCTGTTAGCTCAGGACAAGTCTTCCTCAGCAAAAGGAAGAGGATTGGTAGCAGATGTTAGCTCAGGGCTAATCTTCCTCAAAGAAAAAAAAAATGTCAAATGAAATCTTACATGAAGCCCCAATATACAAAACAAACAGGCGTCAGAACTTGATTGAAATGGCGGTCATGGGACCTGGAGCCCCACAGCCAGGCCTTCCCTTAAAGATGAGGGCAGCCTGTGGGGATCCATCCAGGAAATGCAGGGCTTAAAGAAAGAACCTGGAAATAGGTGACAGGGACATCAGATTCAAATCTGAGTAAAGACTGAGCTCTATAATTAACTATAGGTTGTTGGTCATTCAACTTAACTTCTCTGAGCCTCAATTTGACTAGCTGTGAAATGAGTCTAAATATATCCACCCATGAGTGTTGTCGTGAGGAGTAGAATTTTAGATATACATACACTATTATTTTGTGGTGTTACTGTTTATCATTCATTCAAAAAATTCATTTTTATATATCCAAGGGAATATTATCAGCCATAGAAAAGAAGGAAGTTTTGCCATTTGTGACAACGTGGATGGACCTTTAGGACATTATGCTAAATGAAATAAGTCAGAGAAAGACAAATATCATATGATCTCACTTATATGTGGAATCTAAAGAAAAAAACAAAAAACTGAGCTCATAGATACAGAGAACAGATTGGTGGTAGCCAGAGGTGGGGGGTGAAGGTGCAGGAAATGGATGAGGTGGTCAAAAGTACAAGCTTCCAGTTGTAAAATAAATAAGTCATGAGAATGTAATATAGAGCATGGCGACTACAGTTAATAACACTGCATTGTATTTTGAAAGTTTCTAAGAGAATAGATCTTGGAAATTCTCACCACAAGAAAAAATATTTTAACTATGTGTGGTGATGTATGTTAACTAGACTTTGGTGATCATTTTGCAATATACACAAGTATCAAGTCATAATGTCATACACCTAAAATATATTATTGTGAGTCAATTATTTCTCACTAAAAAAATATTTAATGCCCACTTTGTTCCAAACATAATCAGTATTGAGGATAAAGCAGTGAACAGAATAGACCAAAGGCCTGTATATATGGAGCTTAGATTCTAGTGGTGGAGATTGATCATAAACAGATAAATGACACATCATTCAGATAGTTTTAAATAATATAAATAAAAACAGAGTAGAGCGACAAAGAGTTGTTTTCCTTTGTCTAGCATTTAGGTAGTGTGCTCAGAAAAGCATTTAGGATAAAGTCGGGGAGAAATCCACGTGGATACGAGGAGGGAGAGAATTCTTGATTGTTTTGGGGGAACAAGGAGGAAGCCAGTGCCAGTGTCTCTGGAGAGGACCGAGTGGCTGGCCAGTGATAGGAATTGAGGTCACAATATTATCAGGGACTCTGATCATGTAAAACTTTAGATCATTTTTAAAACTTTGGATTTGACTCCAAGTTAGATGGGAAGATATTGGATGATTTTCAACAGAGATATGAGTTGACTCACAAATTAAAGGAATCACTCTGACTGTTGTATGGGAAAGAGACTGAAAGGGGAGGCAGCATGTGTGAATGACAGAGTTCCAGGAGGCTCTGATCACTGGGGACGATGGATGGTGCCTTGTACTGGGGAGTTAGTGATGAGGTTGGAGAAATACATAGTTGGAATTGGGAGGTATATATATTTTGGTTTTTATTGCACAGTGAATATATCATGATATAGTAAACACACATACTTTGAAATAGAAAAGGATTCTATTTGTATTCCTATTTGCATTGACACAGAATTAAAGCTCTAGGAAAATGCTTCATCTTTCCATTTTCCTCCTATGGCTTTGCATTCCTGCTGGCATCCTTCCTCAGACATGTGCACTCCTCCTCCAGTATCAGAAGCGTAATTTTACCTGTCTAAGCCTTCTTGCCTTTCTTTGTAAAATGCTCAGCTTTGCTTTCCAGGTTGAGAGTGAATCTAATGAGAGAGGTGGAAATGCTTTGAAGACTGTGAAAGTGTCCACACTTGTCAGGTGCAATCAATATATTGTAACCTGTTACATTATATTATGTTTTATGGTTACGTAAACTCATCTTGTGATTTTGGTGATCCTTTATTATCTACTAACATTACCATTTCTACTTTTTTCAATGTGTTGTTTCTTTTTTAGTACATGGCTATATATGAAAAAGAATGCTATTCGAGTTCTCATGTGCTTCTTACCTCAGGAGAATGCATCGTGGGGCAGGTTGTTGACGCATCTGCTGAGGGAGCCCTCTCCAAATCCAGAATAACTATGCAATTGCAGTGTGACATAACACACCCCAGATGGGATAGTGTTATTGTCTTTCATGCATATAAGCATGTTGGAAAATATGTTTCTTCGTTGTATTTTATAGCTTGCCAGTAGCAGCTACTCCCTTTTTTTTTTGGTCTGGGGGTGGTGCTATACAATTAACTTTTACAGTTATTTCTTTAGTATTTCCTATAACTTTCCAATTTATATTATCTTATCTGTTTTATTGGCCAGCATGGTGGTCTAGTGGTCAAGATTTGGTGCTCTCATTGCGGCAGGCCTGGATTTATTTCCTGGTCAGGGAACCACACCCCCCATCTGTCATTGTCATACTGTGGCAGCTGCAGTGTTGCTGTGATCCTGAAAGCTATGCCACCAGGATTTCAAATACCAGCAGGGTCACCTATGGTGGACAGGTTTCTGTGGAGCTTTCAGACGAGAAAGACTAGGAAGAAGGATCTGGTCACCCACATCCAAAAAACTGGCCATGAAAACCCTGTGAACAGCAGCCAAGCAGTGTCTGATGCAGGCCAAAGGTGAGAGGATGGAGCAAAAAGATGGGGCAGGGTTCCACTCTGCTGTATACAGGGTCGCTAGGAGTCGGAATCAACTGGAGGATTCTAATAACAACAATCTGTTCTATTGCCCTGCTCTTGTAACTGATTTGGCTCTTTGACCCCTGAATTCCATCAAGTCTCAGTATCATGTATCAGTATGCTGTATGTTGCATGTTAAGATGACTTCTGTGATCCAGCTGGAAGACCATGACATTTGCACCATGTTTCTACAAGTTGTTATAGATTTTTTTTGAGGCTTCTGAATAATTGGGCTAGCCCTATTGATGGTTAATGAGAAATTGTGTGAAACACATTCTTTTAAAAACTGTGTTGTCTTTTTATTATTGACTTGCAATCCTTCTTTATATATTCTAGATAAACAGATATTTTATTTACAAAATATTTCTCCCGTGCCTATTCACTTTCTTGATGGTGTCTTTTGAAGCACAAAAGATTTTCATTTTGATGGAGTCCAATTTATCCATATTTTTCTTATGCTACTTGTGCTTTTGGTGTCATATCTAAGAGTTCATTGCCTAATACAAGGTCATGAAGAATTATATCTATTTTTTTAAGAGTTTTATACTTTTAGCTCTTATCTTTAGATCTTTGATCTATTTTGAGTTAACTTTTGTATATAGTGTAAGGCGGCTATTCAACCTAATTCTTTTGCATGTGGATATACTGTTTTTCCAACACCATTTGTTGAAAATACTCTTCTATCCCAAGAATTTTTTTCTTCTTCTTCTTCTCCCCAAAGCCCCCCCAGTACATAGTTGTATATTCTAGTTGTGAGTGCCTCTGTTTGTGTTATGTGGGACGCCGCCTCAGCATGGCCTGACGAGCAGTGCCATGTCTGTGCCCAGAATCCAAACCAGCGAAACCCTGGGCCGCTGAAACGGCGTGCGCAAACTTAACCGCTTGGCCATGGGGCCAGCCCCTTATTGCAAGAAATTTTTATCTGACTGTAAAGATAACTAAATTTGTAGGGATTTAAGCAAATTATTATCTTCATTTCATTCAACAAGCATTAACTAATTACCTACTTTATCTGTTTTGTCTTGGACTTTATGCTAGGAAACATTAGGGCTCTCTTCTCAGGAAATTACAAACCAGTTAGTTCCTATATGAATTATTAGGCCTAAGTAAGATCTTTTCTATATCACACATTATAAGTTTCTTCTCTTTTCTTTTTTTCTTTCTCGTTCACATATGTGTGTATGCGTATGTGTTGAAAGTGAAGAGAATGATATATAGATATATATGAAGACATTTATACATATGTAATATTAATTACATATCACTGTTTTTCATTCCAACACCTAGGATCCTCCACACTCCTATCATTTTCCTTTTCTTTTCCTAATAACTTCGGATATTGGCTTTATCCAAATGTGAATAACAAGCTATTTGGTGTTTACTGG